TTTTTTTTTTTTTTTTTTTTTTTTTTTTTTTTTTTTTAATTCATGTTTTAAAGGAATAAGACTATTGTAAAAAAAAACTTATAGTATAAATAACCACTCTAACCATGATGAAATTATGTTCTCCATTCTCAACTTTTCTCACGGATGTGTCGCCGATATTATGAATGTTATGAATGTTTTCCTTTGTAACCCAACAACTAGAGAGTTTCATAAACTCCCACCGTCCGTTTTTTCGGTTTGATCCAGATGGTTACGATTTGATGATGAGCGCCATCGAATTTGGGTACGATGCGAATTCTAGGGATTTCAAAGTGGATAATCCAATCCATCCATATCATAATATAAAGTAGTTTTGATTCCATTATAATGATAGAATCTTACAATGAGCGACAAACAAAAGCAGTAGAAACCTAAATCCTATAAATCCTACCAAACAAACCAATCTGGACAATTTCCTGGGGCATATGTACAATCTATCAAATTTGTACTATTTTCTTCAAAACAAATAACAATTTCATACAATTGGTCCTCATTTGATTGGCTGTTGACATTGCAACGAAGGCTTGGGACCGCTCCTATTGCATTCTTAAGTACGTTTTCCATGTAAGTATATTGACGGAACGTTGTGCTCGGACTGAGTCCAGCCGCATTCAACATGCCCAGGAGATCATAATTCAAGTACATGCGTATAGTTGTATGTAAATATTGATTAGGGTTGAGCGGGGGATTTGAACACCTACCATGTTTTCTCCATTCGTATCTCCAAAAATCGAAGTCATTACCACATTTCAAGTTTGGCCAATGTTTTTTAAGTTTGGTTGAAAGTCGATGAGGAAGCTACATTTTTAAACTACCATTATTTTTCACGAATATTTGAACTAATTATGAAAAAAATATATATATTAAAGAGGATAAAAACCTTATTTTGTTGTAAATCTCCTCCCGAACAGATGAGCTTTGCATTCGAGAAGTTGCTTGGCCATAACCCATGAATAGTAAACTTGTTTTGAGGTGGTTGAACTTTACAAGTAACACCAATCCCACTGCAAAAAGTTGGTGCCCATTGTTGGACCATTTGAAAGTATTCGAACTCATAGCTTGCCGTTAGCATCAAGTTGAACAGCAACAACAACATAATCATAGACATCTTTTTTTTTGTGTGTGAATATCAAAAGAAGAAGAAGAAATTTGTGTTCGAGAATCCTCTGTCGATATTTATACTATCAAATATACACTTTTTTTTTCTTTTTTTTTTTAATAATTTTGGCACACCTATGGTAATTTGTACCAAAAATTTTCCTACCAAAACTCTAAAAATGGTTTTAAATTGTGCACACAAAATATCATCCTACCAAAGTTTCTTCACTTTAAATCAATATATTTAAAAATAAAAATTTTAAAAAAAAAAAAAAAATCTTTAATCTAGAACCATTGAAGCTCATAGGCTTCCGATCAAAACTCATGGGCTTTTGATGCCTTGGAATTCCAATCAAAGCCCATGAGCCTCCAATCAAAAGCCCATTGGCCTTTGATGTCTGGACCAATTCTATTTACTGAATTGGGCTGGATTCCAATCAAAGCTCATGGGCCTCCCATCAAAAGCCCATGGGCCATTTGATGTCTGGACCAATTCTATTACTGAATTGGGCTGGAATTCCAATCAAAGCTTATGGGCCTCCAATCAAAAGCCCATGGGACTTTTGATGTCTGGACCAATTCTATTACTGAATTGGGCGGGAATTCCAATCAAAGCTCATGGGCCTCCGATCAAAAGCCCATGGGCCTTTTGATGTCTGGACCAATTCTTTTACTGAATTGGGCTTTCAGGCCTAGACCATAGGTCTGTCTTCAGGCCTGGTGGATTATTATTGGATTGGGCGGTGGAGGATTATTATTGTATTGGGCTGTCGACCAATTCGTGGGCTACCAATTCGTGGGCTGGTGGATTATTGTGAAGCCCATCTATTAAAAACTTCCGATAATTCATTTATTGTATTTTATATAAAACTAATATAATTCTTTAGAAATTGTAATTAAAAAAAGAGAATAATTTTTTTTTAATTTAATTTATATGAAAAATCAATTGGAATTCTATTAGAAACTAATATTTTGTTTATGTATTTAGAATTATATATATATATATATATATATATATATATATATTACAAAATAAAGTTAAATATTCAGATTCTATATTTATAGTTAAATTGTTAAATTTTAAATTTCAAACTTAATTTAAATTTTAATTTGAAGATTTAGTTGGAATCTTACTAACAAACCTTTAAACCCATTTCAAAAAAATGATCAAAAATATTTTTCTATGCGTCGCTTGACGCCAACTTTAAAATAAACTTTAAAATAATTATCAACTTTAAAATAATTATCGCTGGATGCCACTAAAATAAACTTTAAAATAATTACTCTTATCTATTTAATGTCTGCAACACATCTTAGATTTCATAAATTAATGGTTTGCAACATATCTTTGTTTTCTTTAACCAAACTTAAAATTCCCCATTTATAAAACAAACTTAAAATTCCCCATTTATAAAACAAATTTAAAATTTACGGAATGCATTAAAATTCACGGAAGGCATTAAAATTCACGGAATGCATGGAACAAACTTAAAATTCACCGAATGCATTAAAATTCACGGAATGCATTAAAATTCACGGAATGCATTAAAATTCACGGAATGCATTAAAATTCACGGAATGCATTAAAATTCACGGAATGCATTAAAATTCACGGAATTCAGAGAACAAACTTAAAATTCACGGAATTCACGGTTCATAGTAAAATTCACCTACCTAAAACAAACTTAAAATTCATGTTCTAGAACAAACTTAAAACAGACTTAAAATTCATCCACTCCTCATACTATTATTTCCTCCTTTGACGGAGAACAAACTGTACTATTATTTCCTCCTTTGACCGAGAACAAACTCTTCACGAAAAAAGTTGCTTCAAAGGTGTTTTCATCTCCTTTTATTGGAAGCTCTTTGATATGCTGAGTTTTAATGTTGTACAAAATGGCATGCCCTTTGTTGGACTCCATTAGAAGTTCATCTGAACTTACAAACAACAATGGATTTTCAATTCCACCAATAGGACCAATCGTAAACAATTTTGACCACCAAACCCCTGATTCCTCTTTTTTCATCTCCCAAACATTGAAGCTTTTCTCATCAATTCCTCCCCATAGATAATCAAGCACAACTATCGATCCATTTAAAATTCCCATGCTCCACATCTTCCTCGGCCCCTCCGGCCCCTCCGGCCACTCCTCCTCCTCCTCCTCCTCCCCCTCATCCATATTCAAACTCTCTTGTAACGGAATTTCACCCACCTTATCCATATTCAAACTCTCTGGTAATGGAATTTCGCCAAAAACCTCATCACTCATGTTGAATGACTGTATAAACTCCTCATCTTCTTCCGATGACCACCAGTAATATGTTCCTTCGTGGAACATATCAAATGAAGCCATTGAACTTACCTCGCTGTAACGAACAGGGGGTTCAATTTCTCTCCATCTGTCTTTGCTCAAATCGTAAATTTCTGCTTTTCGAACCGGATATCCACGACGGAGTCCAACAATATCCACAATTCTAACCACTTTAAAATCCCTGGAATTTGCATCATACCCAAATCCGACGGCATGCATTATCAACTCGTAACGAATAGGACGGGGAGAGGCATCAGTGATGGTACAAACGGGAAAAATGGACGGCGGAAGTTTACGAAACTCTCTAGTTGCTGGGTTACAAAGGAAAACATTCGAAATAATACCATCGGCAACACAGATTATACCGTGAGAATGGCCATGGATTTCAAAATGTTGAGAATATTGATAGTCTGATAAATCTATATCCAGAATGGACGGGTATGGATCAAGAGAAAAATTGAGAATGGAGAACATACCTTTATCTTTATTAGAGGCTATCTCCATATTACGCTTCAGAAATATGTGATTGTGTCGAAGAGAATTCGAAAAATGCTTTAATATGAATTTAGGATCGTCGATTAGAGCATACCAGGATTTGTGAACAGACTTGAAACGGAGCAGAGTCTCGGGCGGAAGCCAAGATAGAATCTCCATGGTCACTTGCATGTTTCCGAGAAGAGCCGCCATTAGGGAGGGAAGGTGTGAAGAGAAGAATAAAGAAAAGGATGAAAAGAATTCAGGGTTTCAAATATATATTGTTATTCGGTTAGGAGTAGGAAAGTATTGGGTGCAAACAAGACTACCCAAACAAACATAATATATATAAATATATATATATATATATATATAATATTTTTTAAATTTAAAAACATAATAATTATTCATTTCCAAAATTCTCAATTTTCTTAATTATTTTTTATATAGAGCCTATTTTCTTATATATTCATTCTCAATATATTAATGGTATAAATCATTTCCTTCCGCTATTTTTCATACTCAATATAAAAATATTTGTAAATTTTATATTTTACTTTAAATATCTTCAAATTTTTATAAATATTCTTAAACTAAAAAAGAAAAATAAATTCAAAATATTCTTTACCATTAATTTTTACTCTACAAAATAAAGATGAAATTTAGATTAAAAAAATAAATAAATGATAACGTTAATAACTAGCTTCATTTATACACGATCGGATTATATTTGTTTGATACACAGTTGTCAATATGAATGTGAATAGTGAAAACGGACTACAATAGAGAAAACAAAAGAATTAAAATGAATAAAAATAACCATTTGAATTGAATAAATATATTAATTTCCATAAATATTCTTAAACTTAAAAAGAAAAATAAATTCATTAGATGAAATTTATTTGTAATTAGATTAAAAATAAATAAATAGAGGATAACGTTAATAAGTCATTTAAAAAATATTTATAACCTTTGAAAAAGATTACCACATTAATAAATTAACTAGAAATATCCCATTCAAACACGTGCATTAATAAACATTTCCAGCCATTCTAAACTCATGTAAGTTCAAATTTTTTGGTTCTCTTAAAACGACGGTTACATATGCTAAAAGATTAACACGGTGCTAAACTTTCAGACCTTAGTTAAACCAATACAAATAGGCTACTGAGAGAGAGGGAGAGCGAGAATATTTTCTATATAAGAAAAAAAAAAAAAAAGTTATTAAAAGGGAGGCTACATGATACACATGTTTGTAATGATGGACTGACTTCCAGTGTTTCACCGCAACCACCTCACATTGACACATTGATGAGGGTATGAATGAAGGCTGAGCCTTAGTACCCATAGTTCGTACCGTACACAGAGCCATAGCCTCCTCCAGCATGACTAGCATGGGCCTGGTTTGCAGGGGGAGACGCATACACCGAACCATGTCCAGCATAAGAATTGTAGCCTTGGTCTGTCGAACCCCCAGCTTGAGCCTGGGCTGAAGCTCCAGCACCGGCCATGAAGTTCTGCAACACAATTAAGTAAGGATGTTTATAGATTGCACTCAAACACTATCCATGTTCCCTTCAAATTAAGTTATTTTCAAGTTGATCGATCACAACCAGACTGAACTACGACACAGCTAGAAATTCAAGCTTAAACATCATATCTAAAGTCCTCATATTGAAGATGATGCAAAACAGAAAAGAGCCAGAAAAAATAATTGCCTGTATAAGCTGCTGGGCGGCTTGAACTTGAGAAGCAGTTCCACTCATTTCTACCGTCATTTCCCCAGGGACTCCCCTAGTTTCTTGGATAGTAACAGTTGCCCCACTAGCACGACGAATGTAGCTTATGCTAGCACCGGCGGTTCCAATAACAGCATCAGCAAAAGATAATGGAATCTGCATTTGTTGAGTTGTCTGCAAGTTCAACACAAAAACCATTAGGAATATCTTCAACTATTCACCAGCTATGAGTAAATGGATATCTGAGGAACCATGGGATTAGGCCAAATGGGAAGTGTTTGGTGAGCGAACACTTCTGAACTCACTCAGATGATGGGCATCATTAACATGTTTCTAGCCTTACAATGAAAAAATGGGATAGAAATAGAAACAAGGATGTAACACAAGCACCGCATTAGAATTAGAATTACTTTTGAAAAACATTCAAAAAGTTTGCAAAGCCACATTCAAATATAGGAGTTCGAAGGCTTATCCCAACCTGTGTGACAATTGACGGCACTGACTGTGCATTTGATGCTGCATGAACACCCATAGGAGCTTCCCTTCCATAAGCAGAAATTCCATGATGGGGTTGCTTATCCATAACCGATGGCATATCAGCAGGCGGATAATAACTGTCGAATTGACGAGGTGGTGGCATGTATTGAGGATTTGGTCCAAAGCCAGGACCACCACCAGCATTTGGAGGAATTCCTTGAGGCGGACCCCAAGGTTGGTGTTGTGGTGGCGGCATGTGCTCCATCTGTGGATTTGTCATCTGCATCTGATTTTTGGACGTTTGGGTTGGATGGGAGAACAGGAATATGGAGACTTCATTACTTGTAAAAAAGGAAATGGTTAAAAAATCAGTAGGAATTCATACTCACATTCATTTCAAAAACTGGGATAATACTTCGGTCAACCAGAAACTTTCTAAGATGAGAAGCAATGAGTTCCACTGCCTTGTGCACACTTGTTGGATCGCCTAGTACTTCGACAACTCTATCGTCTTGGAGAGCAAAAACAGGCAAGTCTTCTGCAGTGATTTCCGGTTGACAAGAGTATTGATGATTAAAAAGGGAAAACTATATAATTATCAATTCAGAAACAAATGATATACATAGAAAATAAAAACATGTTTTTATAGACAGGCATAAGAACATTAAAGCAGAGAATCAAATGGCATCCATCGAAGTTCACCTGTTCCAAGAACTCTAACAATACAATTTGACTCTTCTTGAATGGATTTAACAGTCCCTCCTTGCTTCCCAATTAAACTTCCTGCTTGTGAAGCTGCCACTAACAGTCTCGTTGAGACTTTACCACCCATGTTGGGAGCGTGAGCATTATCGCCCTCCAAACCATCAACAATGCGATTATGAACCCTCAGAAGCCCATCCACCGCAGGAGGAAAAGCAGAATCGGGTTCCTCCTTTGCAGACACCATTACCTATTTAAAAATGAAGCATACCTTCAAGTCAGAACTAAAAATTTTCATCACAAATTGACCAACTACAACAAGGGGAAAATCATAGTAGTAAGAAGCAAAAGAAACTGAAATTCTCCGCTCAACAGAGACAAACGCTCATAAAAGAATTAGAAAGCAAAAATACTCCATCACACTTCAGAGACAGCGATTGAGCTTCACGACAAGGGAAAACACATGAAATTCCCAACTAATGAAAAGACAATTAGTCTATAACATCAATTAGAAAATAACTAATAACATGCCAAAACTTCTACAATTTCACAATTCAAGGCACTTAAGTTTATTTGCACAAACTTCCACATGTATCAAATGCTAAATGCACTATGGATTCTGATGTGCGTCCAATCAAAGAAAGAAATGGATGTAATAAAAAAGAGCCCCTCTTCCAATTTGGTTGGTCTACAATGAAAAATTACATTTATCTGCAAGTTAGGACAATAAGGATGCCACAAAGTGTACACGCAATACATGCACAACAGTGGCCTTCAAAAGCTTCTCATATTAGTTTTCATTCAGATCTCCCACAAGATTAACCCTTGCTCGTCAAACTTTCCTAACCTCTTAGTTGAATATTGAGCACCTTGCAACTAAAATAATAAAGTTGTCAAAACTATCAGGCAGATCAAACAATTCAAAGATAGTCCCCCAATCTATATATCTGATGAGGCAAGGGCCAAAACAGTGGATGATTTCTTCCTCCAATACATCATGTAAGACACATCTTAGAGGCTGCAAATATATATGAAGATAACGGATCAAAAGAACCGTGCAGCAAGTGTTGAAATTTGTAAGCCACTTTTGAACATGGAAGTTATTTACCAGCTTTCTACGTTCCAAGAAATTTGATAATATAATTACGTTAAGAGTTCAGGTTTTCACAGTATTATGACGTTCAATTATAGACCCAGTTGTTATTGGCAAAGACACAATAGAAGCATAAGCAAAAATATATAACTTCTATTTGATATTGATTGGCACTTTTAGTGTCAATTTTATCTATGCATATCTTTAGTCGTCTATAAACATCTCTAAAATTACTAAATTTTTTTAACTCTTAACATTTATCATTATGTTTTCCCCATTTTTCACATTTATCATCCCGTTGGAAATCTTGCTCAATCTTCAGATCTGAAGTTACCAGAGATATTGCAGTGCTTCATGGTACACAAAGTTCCAGATGCCTACGTGTAATTCAGATCAACTTTTCAGAACTTTGTAATCTTGAATGCTGATCCCCACATCTGGATCTTTGGTTCTTCAAATATGGAATCCTATTGAAGATTGAATCGTTGCCTTAAACAACCTGCACAGATTCATTTTTTTGGTTACAACAATCAAGGCAACTGTATCCATATTTTGGGATTACCTGGATTAGTCTTAGATTCCTTTTTGTTTTGTTTATAATGTCATTTTTACATGTTTAAAGGGACAATCTTAGTTTCTGGACATTTCCTTTTTGGCAGTTATAAGCTGAAAGAGAATCATGTCTAACACCCATCGATGGGGTGTAGAAGCACAGATATCCTTCTACGATGGAGCTCAATCTTCCCCACTAGTGTTAGCATATAACATTTTAAGTGTGCCGAGTGGTTTAATATAATCGAATGTTTTTTCCACGACTCAGAAGCATTTTAGAACATTATCCAACTTCATATTATTTTAGTCAATGATTTAATGGCTTTTAGTACAAGTTCTAATCAAATTATTAATGATAACATTTCACGCACGCTTTATAGTCTGAAATTTTCCTAGGGATCTTCAGTGTCATGTTTCCATCATTACACAGCCATATAACTAATATCACGTTCTTGAATATGCCAAACCAAGAGTACAAAAGAGATTAACCAATTGACTAAAAAAGTTAATAACCACCCAAACTTGATGCTCAGGTAGATTGGGCTAATCAAGCCATGCAATGCCCAATATTTCCCTACCTTGAAGCAAGGTGCAATACATACTGAGAATATGAAAAAACAAGAAAACCTAGGACAATAATTTTTAGTTGAAGTGTCAACATCCATAAC